CATAATGGTTACTTTGATGGAAACATGAGAGCAACCAGCTTGAGTGCCTGATCCCTGAGGACAGGAGTGGCCACCCCGGCCAGCAGGGGGCAGCAACGAGACTTCCTGGGGAATGTATAAGTTCAATTGGTCATTCCTCCTCCATTAAGTAACACAGAAAACCCTCTCTTATTGCATTTCAGAGGAACAGAGTAAACTTCATTTAAGGGGTACAGTCTGTCAGAGAACTCATTTTAATTTCTTGTTCAAAAAGTTCCTTGAAGAAAACCCTGGAATGTTCTAGAAGACATCAGTGGGGTAAGGTCCGGTACATGGCCCAAAGTCACCTTTCCCCTTTGAACTCATTTATAAATGCTCACAGCCTTGTTTCAGTGGGGGCTGCACCCTGATATATTTTCAAATCACTAGTGCATTCAGGATACAGTAAAATTCAACCAACAGGGAGGCACAAAACTCAGAGACTCTAAACCAGTGATTCCTACAACATTCAATCAACCTGGAATACTATTTTCATGTAGGTATTACGTTGAGTCAACAGATAAGGAGTGAGCTCAGCTCTTTATTTCTCAAGTTTTATGAAACGCTAATAACAATATTTAACATTTACTAGGGCTTACTATGTGCCAAGCACTGAGCTAAACATTGAATCTTCACAAAACCCTATGTGCTAAGAAAGCTAGGGTAACTTTTTTTCTCTGCATCTGAGACTATACAGCTAATTTGGCCTTTTGCTATAAAAAAGTGGGTTTCCCACTTTTTGTTGAAACCAACAATAACTCACCCTCAGCTTTATGAAGTTCCAAGCTTCCCAAATGAGTATGACTCTATTTAGATCCATCCATCTATCCATATGAAGGTGCTCTGCAGCCCCACAGGGATGAATGGAATTAGAAAAAAGACAATATGGAAATTCAAATATCTTTAAATAAATAATTCAATCCAGGCTTGGGATAATAGCACATACAACAGAGCCTGTCGTTAACAAAATAGACTTAAAAAAAAGTCATGGATTTGGGGGTACAGGAAAGGGTGGCAGTGTCTTAACTATATACACAATCTAGGAAAACCACCCTGAAGAAATGGGGTGGCCCACCTTGGTCTAGCCTGAAAAGCACATACCCACCTACAAACACCACACAGGACTCTTCTCCAGAAGCCACATGCGCCTTGGGAAAGGCTGTGGACTCTGACAGTTACACTAGTGCACAAGGGCCAGGTCTCGGAGCTGATGTCATGTGATGCTACAACAAGCACTGGTGAAGTGGACTCAGACCTCCTACAGGCCTTCTGGAAAGCACTCACCTGCTTCCTCTACCTGAGCTACCTTACCAACCCAGTCATCATAGGCTGTGGGCACAGCTTTGGCAGATTCTATCTCCAGTCTTCCTGGAAAGAAGCCCAAACTCCTGCCTGTTGCCCAGGGTACAGGGAAGCATCCTACCAGAAGACTCAAAACCAATACTGATGTGAAAATCTGACTCCCACTGCCAGAAAAGCTAGTCTCTGGTCATTTCTGAGCACTGAAGAACACATGTGTGAGACCTACAAGAAGACAAAGATCTTCTGAGAGGATAAGAGCTTGGTCTGTCTGCTCTGTTCTAAGTCTCAAGAGCACCAAGCTCACACTGTCCCATCAAAGGGACTGTTAAGGACTATCAGAAGCCCTTAAAGCCCATAAGGTCATCAGAAAAGACTCAAGAAGACCAGAGAAATTGAAGTGAGCAGGGTACCTGTGCCTGGGAGCTCTAGATCTTAGAAGCCCTTCTTGGAGAAGCAAATCAATACTACTAGACTGTCTCTCAAGTTTTCTCCTACTTTAATGTAACCTCACTTTGTTATTTAAGTATGAAGATAGTATTAAAAAAAGAAAAAACCCCACACAGCTCTAGTCCAACTTGTGGGTGAGCTGGGTAAACCAACAGACAGTACTGATCAGAGATGCTTGATGGGTAGACGGGGACAGGCAGAGGACAGGCATCTGCATGCACGTCTCCATAAGGACAGACACTTAGACTGGAAGACGGACACCAAGAGACTCTTGTGCAACTCCAGATAAGTGAAGTAAAAATGGTGCCAAAGAGCAAACACCTAAAAGCCCTCTCTGAGAAGCTGAGGAAATGCGCCATATACCAGACATGGAAGTGCCCTGGGATGTGGGAGGCGCGATGATAGGAGTGAGCCTCCTGAACCAACAGGCAGCCTCCACTACCTCCAAGTGGAGATTTCCTCCAGCAGTGGAATGACCACCCAACCACAGCCTATGTGAGAAGTTTGATGTTCAGACACGGCCATGGGCAAGCCACTCTACACCCGACAGATCTATTTGACCACATGGTGAGTCCAGGGCTTTGCCTCTAGGAAACTCCTGGAAACTGTTTGCATGACACTGGAGCTGGGGCTTGCAGTCTGCAGGGATTCCTGAATAAGGAATACCAGCTCGGTGCTTACTACATCTGAGGACGTTTTTTCTTTTGTGTGTGAAGGAGGATCTTCACCGTCTCCTGACCACAACCGCCTCCATCCTGAGAGCGAGTATGTGAGCTTCTGACTGCCGCCATGAGTTCCCTCTATGGAGGTTCCCTGCCGGCTCTTCCCCTTCCCTACCAGGCCTTTCCATCAAACGGGTCAGAGGTACCCAGGGACAAGTCAGGAACCCAGCTGTGTGTCTGGGAGCTCCAGATCTTAGGAGCCCTTCCTGGTGAAGCAAGTCAATACTGCTTGACTGTTGAAGTTTTCTCCTACTTTAACATAACCTCATTTTGTTACTTAAATATGAAGAGAGTATTAAAAATAATAACAAACCCACACAGCTCTAGTCCTACTGTCACAGTGATGCCTTCACTATCAGTGAGTTGTACCAGGGCTCTAATCCAAAGGGAAAGCTAATGAGTCATCTCCACCCAGCCCTGCGTTCACCGTGGAACAGGAGGGGTGCGTGTTCTTTCCTGTTTCTGACGCAAACCAGCTCAAGTGTTCCTGGGCCAGGGTCCCAGGTCCCACTGAGTTCCGCGGGGCCTCGTGCCTTGTATCCCTTTGAGCAAACCCTCACCTGGGACTGGCCTCCGGCCTCGGCCACCCCTCCCTCAGCCAGGCCAGGGCGGCACAGGCCCATCAGCACATGGACAACCAGCAGTCCCAAGACCGACCCAAAACGTGGCTGAGCAGTGTAGGACAGCGTGGACCGGTTTCAGGAAGCCAGCCCTTAGGGTTCTCAGGGCCTCAGGTCCTCGGGCGGGGTGTACATGCCCAGATGAACACGCTGTGGCCAAGGGAGCTTGGAGGGCGATGCTGGTGCCCAGCCGAACATTTGCAATGTCTCCAAGCTAGAGGACATCCTTCCACAGTATCCAGAGTCCAAAAAGCAACCCCAAAGGAAAGTGAAAAGGCACATCAGAGAAACAAACATCACCAAAGAAACGAATATTCCTAAACACACACAAAAGCAAACTATAATTAGCAGTGACAAATCCCTAATCAAAGATGCAAAAAGTGTCTCCATTTGTACACGTGCAAATCAAATCGCATACATGAGAGAAATGAGGTGTTTATTGGCGTTCAAAGAAGTGTGTTCTTCCTTTCAGGAATTTCTACTCCTGAAAGTGTTTCCCTTCAAAGGAAAGATTTCTGTCTTAATAAACTAGATAAATGTTTTCCCTCCATTTTTTTTAAGAGCTTAGAATTGCGATGGGAAAAATCAAAAGACCAGGCAAGATATGATTATAGCACAGGAAAACATGAATCCTGATTTAGGATTTCTCTCCCTGTGGCATTGTCATCATTTACAAATTGGTTCAGGATTCTATTTAGATCACCAAGGGCAAAACCACTGCTGCTTCTAGCCCACGCTGGTGAGGCACCTTCCTCAGGTACCCACACAGGGCAAACAGAAGTCAACACCCCCCCACCCCCCCAGTTTCCTCTCCCAGATCACTGACGGGACCTAAGCTAGGTCGGAGGCGGCCTGGGAAGCGGTATACATTCAGGAGTCATCGATTCTATTGATAATGCCCTCAGCAACTGGAGTGTGGGTTTGTTTGCCCCAAGAGCAGCATTCTCACCTGCGGGACTCAGGCTGGTTCACTTCCAGCCAGTGCCGGACTTGGGGGTGGGAGTGTGTGGAGCCAAAGTTTTAAGTGGGACAAAGCGCTTTTCTGGGTTGCCTGACCTGGGTGTTGGCTTAGAGGAGTGAGAAGGTAGAGAGGCCCTGGGCTCAGGGGCAACCAGAAAACAATTCTTGCAGCTTCTGCGGGCAGGGACAACGCTATTTTCCAGCTTATTTGCTTTCTGGTTTCTATGTGTTTAAACAGCTGTCCCCTAAAGGGGTTAACTCAGCAGAGCGTGGGAAATCAGTCTCAGCCCACAGGCTCCCCCTGCTGGTCAAACGCCCACACTGACATCCTCCGTAATTGAAGAGGATCCAGGAGAGGCCAGAAGAGGGCGGTGTGGGTCCAGGAACTGCAGGTCTGGAACTCCAGTTCCCACCCCTAAGGATGCAGCCAAGAGGCGCTCGAACAGGGAAAAGATCTTCCGCATTCTTCCGCACAGCGAGGGTGCCAGTTGTCTCCCCTTCGACCGTGGGAAACTGTCCTTGCAAAGCTTAAAGGAATAGACGTACACACTCACAGTCATCATCAAGGATGCCTTCCGGCTCTGCTCTTGCTGCTGGCCCTGGCAGAAGCTATTTTCAGCCAGACTTTGAGGCCCTGCATCCAGCTTGGGGCAGACACTACTCCGCCCCCTGTCACCATGGGTCCTCTCCCTGGCAGATAAGCCCAGGGGGCACCTAGAGGGTGAAGGCCACCCTGGCTATCTCTGCCCTCCCCCTGGCCATCCCTCGGACTGCAGGAACAATTCAGACCCACTGAGTGTGGATCTGAAGGTGTAAGTAGAACAGGTTTGCTGTGCATTTGGCATTACTTAGGTACCAGAGCAGACACCTAGAAGCGGGCAGAATCTAACTTCCCAGACTCACAGGCTCCACACTTTCCCTGGTGCCCATGAAGCAGAATTCTTCCTTTTCCTCACTTCTTGAAGGCCCACCCAGCCATGAGCCCTGCCCAGCTGTTCTGTCCCAGCAAGTAGGGTGCTGGGAAGATGGAGCCCAGAGCTTGGGGGCCACGGCATTCCAAACAGTTCACACAGACCTTCTGCAAGAGGGAGAAGAGGGCCCACTTTCACTGGCATGGCGGAGTCAGGGGCTTCACAGGAAACTCAGACTGGCCACAGAGTAGGGGAGCAATGCTTCAGTGGGTGTGGGGGCTCCAGCAATTAGAAAGTGGGGTGCAATATGTCTGACCAGGCTCTCCTGCAGATGGCTCACCCCACTGCTATGCATCTCCCTCAGAATAATCCTGCCTGGAATAAAAGCCAGCATTTGACTCCCACCCCGTGAAAGTCATGCCCACAGGTAAGCGGTCAGGACAGCGCTCCTTATCCAGCCCCCAGAGAGTATCAAGCTCACCCCCAGCCGCACCCCATGGACGTTGGTCATAAACATTGGAGGGGATGCAATCCATGCCCACGTGTCAGAAGTCCAGCTCTGGTCTATACTGGCTCTCAAGGAATGACTCTTCCATCCAACCTCGGCTCAGAGACCATCCTCTAAGCCCCAGCCCACCAAGTCCAAGGCAGTGCTGAGTCCCACATCTCTAATGGCCGCCTGAGGGAGGGAGGGCGAGGGCGAGCGCACTGCATAGCAGCACACGTGTTCTCTGATCCTGCACTTCTTTCCTACAAGGATTCTAACTGGAAACTGGGACCGAGGTGAGTGGGTACGTGGGGAACACCGAGGAAAGGGGCCCCTCTCAACTGCAAGGCAGCCTGGTCTTCCACTCCTGGCTGGGCTCCTGGACAATGCAGACATGGCCCCTCGGCCAAGGGGGCACCTGGCTGCCCATTGCCATCTCAAGCACAGGATCAGCTCCACCACAGCACCCTGGAGACGCTGGCTGTGTTTCTGAAGCAGGAGTTCTGCTCTCCACCATCCGCTGAGGATCTGGGATCCCCACACTGCAGCCTTCAGCATCCC